TCACCAGCCAGCAGGGGAAGAACATGCCCTTGCTGAGCTTCCATGCCAGGATGAACTTGGAGGTATGGGATGGGGCTATGGGGAAGGAGGAGCCGCAGGTCCTGGCATGACCACTAAAACTGCACTTTGCCAGGGTCGGGAGGCCAGGTGGGACTGCTAGTGGTGCAGCAGCCCTAGAAAATGCCAGGACCAAGGATCTCTCTGGTGAAAGGTGGGTAGGAGGTGCTATAACCTCCAGCCACCACATGCATGAGCACACAGTCCTGGCTGGGGAAAGCCCAGACCCGTCATATCTTTGACAGGCCTCATCCTGAAAGGGAATTTACAAACCACTTTTCACAGTTGGGCCTATGAATTTACTTCATCAGCCTCCTAGGTACAAAAGTCCATCGACTCAATATAGACATTGGATTTATGACACACTACAACCTGCCGGACATCTGACTCCCCAGGAACCTCTCCACTTTTGCCTACTACATCTCCCTTCCCTCCTACCCCAGCCTGTCTCTCTCACCCGCTGATGCCTCCATTTCCACATTCACTGACTGGCTTTCTTGCCTGCATTGCATGCCATCCTCTGGCTTCTTTACTATTCCTTCCACCCAGGAACAGCACACACACCCAACAACTGCAGGTGCTTCCTCAGCCTGATGAAGGGTTTTTCAACCTGAAAGCTTGCTAAGATATATTTATCTAACTATTCAGTTGGTCTACTAAAAGATACCAGATTGACCCAAATAACCTTGTCTGCCAGTGCCATGTCCTTAGGCCAACACGCCTAGCACTTGTTCCCGGTCAGCTGACTGGAAGGACACAGGGCCCTGGGCACATCTAAGCCCCAGGGCTGGGGCTGGCAAGGAGAGTTCTCTGGCAGCTGCTGGAGAAGAGATATGCAGCCCCTGCAGGAAAGGAAAGAAAGGCTCTGTGACAGTTTGGCTGCCTGAGATGCTAGTGCTACTGTGCTGCAGTGCACTGCTTACCTGTTGTTATTTAAAGTGGTGGGCAGAGCTGAGGCTGTAAGGGGAGGAGGAGGAGGCCTCATTGGGGCACACTACCGTGTCATGTAGAGGGGTCCCAGCGCCAGTGAGGGTGTGCCTTAACATACACACAGTGTCATACATGTCATGAGTTTTGCTTGTCAGCAGCTTGAGGTGCAGTTTCCCAGAAACCCCTGCATCTATCTCCTTGAAACTTGGCAGGCCTCAGAAGGGGCTACTATCCCTGCAATTTTTATCCAAATCAGCCAAAAAATAACAAAGTTATAGGTATTTCAGTGATTGGCCATTATAGTCTGTGGCCGAATCTCCGAATCTCTCCAAATCGGTGCTGAATCTTCCTAAGCTGATTCAGCTGAATTGATTTGGGACAGTGATCTGAATCTCCAAATTGAATCACTGTCCTCCAAATTGGCCGAATCCAAATCAAATACTTCCCTATTCGCACAGGCCTACTATGCTGCCCTCATGCAGCCTGGTACTACGAGAGTGGGCCCCTGCATGCCAGCATAGGGCCTTCATGCCCTGCACAGCTCCTACACAGTCCCATGCCACCGTGCAGCACAAGGCCATGCTGTCTGGCCCATGGGGCTCCCCATGAGTCTGGAAATTTGGCAGCATGGGAGTGGTGGGAGTAGGGGGTGACACATCTCTGGGGATAAGACCTGTCCCACAGGCTGGGGTTTGAGAACTCCTGCCCTCCACCAACGAGCCAGCTGCAAACTGCTCCCCAGATGTTCTCTCAGAGCAAATGTGGCAGCAATGGAAACCTCAGGCTGTCACTCACAAACACTGTGGGAAGGAATAGGCAACCCAGGCAATTCCTTGCTTCAGTGAACAGACATGGGTCCCACAGTAGGGATGCAGCTCCCACTGCTGTTACACCCTGTCACTGCCTCTCTGGGAAAGCTGCTAGAACAGGAAACCCCACAGGCAAGGCTGTGCAGGACATACCAGGGGTGCAGCCTTGTCGCCTGCTGCGTAGAGGGAGTCTGGGCTGGAGCTGCCACCAATGGGAATAAAGTAAGCCAGAAGGATGGAGCTGGTCTGCCTGACTCAGATACCTCTACCATGTGCATTGCTCCACAACAGGACATGGAGATGCCAGAATAGAGCTCTGCAATCTACCCAGCATCCAGGGAGGGTTCTAGTCATGATCTGGTGTGTGACTAACACCATGTGTGAAGTGGAAAAGTCAATGCTGGCCATTGAGCAGCCCTTCCCATCTCCAGCCCCACTGCCTACTGCTCCCACCCAGCCTCAGGGAATGGCAGGGTATGGAATAAACCTGGCATCAAGGGCTGCAACAAAGGGCAGGCAGTTTCTGTCATTGAGTTCCGGTTGCCTGAGCTGCTGCCACTGGAGCAAAGGAAGAGCAAGGGACAGAGCCAAGATGGGGACAGGAACAGGCAACCTGAATGATCTGCAGAATATAGAATCTGTTGGCCCAATAACACCTCACTAGGTTGGGGCTCTTTGGGGTGGAATGAAGCCGACTTGGGGTGGGAAAAATAGTCTGTGAAATCCTGCAGGTTATATTGTAGTATGAATTTTTACATTAGTTATTATGTTTAAATGATAATAGTATTGAAATGATCAACCTCTAAGATTTTATTAGCTTTATTTTTCTTTGTCTTTTATGAACATTTTATGAACAATTAAAACTCCATTTTGTGCTTGTTCCCTGCTTGACATGAGTAAATGAACTTCTTATGTCCTGTGTATGTGAGTGTCTGTGTGAGACGGTGAACGGTGAAAGAATGATAACTATTTGCATGAAAACAGAAGATTTAACTGACTGTGTAAGCAACAAGGCACCAATGTATAAGTTACCAGACAGTAAACTAATTAAGCTAATTAATGGATGGCTGAAGAACTTGTCTGTAATCAAGTGCAAAGAAGAGAGCGAGAAGAAGGAATTTTGCATATCCTGCCATTTGAACTACACAATGCTTCAAGGCAGAGATACCAACTTGGAGATACCAACTTTACTGGAATGACCTAAAGTTGAGATAACCAGAAGAAACAACCTCTATTTAAAAACTGAGCATGGAAAAAACCCAATGCTGAACAAAGACTTCAAATCCCTATAAAAGTGAGATGCAGACAAGCCAAGATGGGAATCCATTCTCTGCAACCTCTTGGAGCACAGGTGTATCTGTTTACCCCGGCTCATTACCCTTAATGAGCCTGGACTGGCCATCCAGTGTTAACATTGAGTAACTTCTGCTGGTAACTATAACATCTTACTGGAGTGGTTTTGTCTGTATGTCTGTTTGTATGACTGGTGTGTCCAAGCTTATGTATCTGCTTCATGTAATCAATTAACGCGGCATTTTGCCTTATCCCCCTTTATAAGGGCTCACTCTTGAATTGAGCAATTGGCAATTTAAATAACAATAGTACTGTATTTTTGCGCACATATCCCGTGGGTTATACACGATTTTACAAAAAAAATGGATGGATGCGGGCTATACAAGGGTGCGGGCGATGCATGGACTAGTTTTTGAAAGGGGGCTGGGGCAGGGGCTGGCGGCGCAGGCGGGCTGGGAGGCTGCAGCGGGGCCCGC